GCGGCCACTGCACTCCAGTCTGGGCGACAGAGTGAGACTCCAACTCAAAAAAAAAAGAATTGTAAATTCTAACCATATCAAATTTTCAAATGCAAAATATGAAAACTTTAAATAAAGAAACCATAATGGCCCTAGATGGACGAACTATGGAAACCATGAAAGAATTTTTCACAAAAGTCAGAGGATGGTTAAGAAGAGATGGATAAACTCAACTACATAATAAAAAGTCTTCATGGCAAAATAAAAAGACAAATGACAAACTGGAAATCAATACTCAGTGTCCCTAATACATAAAGAACTCCTAACAGCCATTAAGAAAAAGACCCTCAACACAATAGAAAAGAAAGTAAAAGATATACACAGTTTCAGAAAAAGATGCATACATGGCTGTAAAATATAAAGAGATAATCAACCAGACTCACAGTACCAGAAATAGAAACTCAAACTTCCCATCAGATGACCAAAAGATAAAAATCTGATAGAATGGTACCAGGAAGATTTAACCGTTAAGGGTGCTGCTTCAAATGGTCTCTGAGGAGAGCAATCATATTTATGCCCGAGGATTGATCCCTCAAGACACACTAGCATGCATGTGCAGTCACTTATAAAAGATTAGCTCATCACTGTTTACATTAGAACAAGAGTAGAAACTTGTCATATTTCATGCAAGAATTCTTTTTGAGAGATAATGGGCTTTGTGTTTGCAAAAAACAAACAGTCTCAATCTGTTGCCCAGGCTGGAATGCAGTGGCATGCTGATGGCCAATGCAGCCTCAACCTGCTACGCTCAAGCGATTCTTCCACCTCAGTCTTCCAAGCAACTGGAACTAAAGGTGTGCGCCACCACATCCGGCTAACTTTTTGATTTATTGTAGAGACGAGGTCTCACCAAGTTGCCCAGGCTGGTCTCGTACCCCTGGACTCAGGCAATCCTCTCACCTCTGCCTCCCATATAGCAGTGGCTTGAGCCACCACGCCCAGATGAAATAATGATTTTTAAATATACATACTTGCTTCTATATGTATATTTCCTCCTCTGGAAGGATTCAAAAGAAAAGGACAAGATTGTATTCAGATGATTCAGATGATGAATTAGGGATAAGAACTAGTCATTTCTTCTTCTCCTCTTCTATCTTCTGTAAACTTTAGCCAACTAGTCACTGTCTGTCTTCTTTTCTCAATGTTTCTGTATTCATGTTTTTATGTTAATAAATGTTTGTTCCACATACAGGACATATGAGGACACTGATAAGCTGATCAGGGAGCTGACAGCAAGAAAATTAACCCCTGGATCGGTACAGGGACAATTCTATAGAGGCATCTTTCCTCCAACAGGCTGGAAATTAGAAAAATACTCAGAAAATGGAGAAAAGGATGAGCACTGGAGGGTATTGTGCATCCATTCATTCAAATATTTACTGAGTACCCACTAAGAGCAGACAATCTGGGGACATGGCAGCTATTAAGAGATAGTCTATCCAGAAAGAAGAAATCAGACAAAAAATTACCATCACAACTGATTACAACAACTGAATATAGTAGGGGAGCAAGCCAGGTCTGAAAAATAGATAGGAGTTATCTGGCAACAAGATGGAGATAGAGAAAGCTGGGGAGAGGGAAGAGGGCGTGCACAAGAGAGTGAAACCTGCATTCTCAGAAGCAGCAGCTCACACAAAGGTATTGTGAGGCAGAAACATGGCAAAAACTGGCTCAAAAAGCAGCCAGTGTGGGGACAGCCCAGAAACCAGACTGGTGCAAGTTGAACATGCAAAGAATGGGGAAGAGGTAGGCCAAGGTCAGAACCTTCCCACCCTGGAAAGTCAATGTTTGAAAGTTTTTAAAAATGAAGCACTACTGGAGGATTCTAAGCGGAAACTGTATAATCAGACAAAATTTTATATAAAAAAAGAAGAAAATTGGTTGGAAAAGGAGATGTGAACATAGGGTGAAAAGTCAAGACCCTACAAAGAATATCTAGGTGAGAGATGACTGTGGAGCAGAGACATGGACAGAACAGAAAGAGCAGGGTGTGGGACACAAAAGATTCAGGAACAGATCCAACCTGAGTCAGGGAGAAGAGGTATTTAGCTCAGTAGTTCTCAAGTGCTAGCGGCACCTGGGATGCTTGTTAGAAATGTAAGTTCCTGGGCCCATGCTCAAAGATTCTGATTTCACAGGTCGAACACAGAGAGATGCTAGAAGCTGAATTCTTGACATGCAACCCTGGTAATTCTGATGCCAATGGACCAATCTTGGGACAGCACTGATTCAGAGGACTCCCAAACTTTTGGCTTATACAAGAGAGTGGTTGGGGTTGGGATGGGGGCATCATTTACAGAAAACGTGACACAAAGAAATGGACCATGTTTAGTGTTTGGACTGTTTCTGTAGGGCTGCCCAAATGGCCTTCCTGATGAACACAGCTCCACTAAATGTCACATCTGCCTATCAGATACGATTCCATTTGAAATGCCAAGAGGTAGATACTGCTGTGATGCTGGCACTAGTTCACTGCCTGCCCGTGAGGACACTGCCCAGATCACCAGGTCCCCAGCCAAGCTGGTCTTTTGCCCCCGACACCAACCTGGTTTGCCAGCCCTACAACGTTCAGTTAACAAAAGCTAAGCCGTCTAAAATGGTGTCTGCCTCCCCTTTTTGAAAATTAATGACTTTACTCTTTTAGAGTGGTTTTAGGCTCACAACAAAACTGACCAGCAGATACAGAGGCTTCTCAGGTCCCTTTCTTTGCTGAGCACTTCCTTTTTCTAGTGCTACATGATGCGTCCAGGCCCATCCTACACGTCCCCTGCCCCAGTCCTCCTGGAATCCGTCATTTATCTACAGAGCAGTCCAGGTTCTTTTCACTGGAAAATACGTGTTAGAAGCCAAGATCTGTGCACCGGCTGCGCTTGCTGCTGCTGGTGAGCCTTGACTTCCAGGTCCTCTCAGCCAACAGAGCAAGATCTATGTGTGTACTAACCACATATATGTAACACAACCATAGTTACATTTATTCTTTTAACATCTGAACCTACATTAAGTGAAATACGAGTCCATACTGATGTCTTCAACTCTAACCTCTGACCACATGGGTCATTCTCACCACCGCACCTCGCTTACTTATCGGTAACTCCCACTCTGACAATGAGACACCTGGCTCCCCCATCTGCCACACAATAACTTAATGGTTCCATTCCAGTCCACAGGTGCTGCAGTACCTGAACAGCTGACCCATAGCCCTGTGCCTCATTCATCTTGATCCCTCTACCGTGCTTTCTTCTCATCACTGCAGTCCACACTGTTTACATGGATTTTGTTTTCCTCCTCTATAACAACAGAGACTCTCCCAGAACCTACAACTGCCTTAGACAAAACAGATGAGTAGAACAAATTGTTATGTGTATTATGTTAATTAAGCAAGTCTCAGAAGGACCTTTCCTAGTGAGCACTATCAGATTCAGCTTTGAGACACTATCTATTTCATTCAAACTATAATTACAGCATATAATTTACATCTTTCATTAGTTCAACTGACATCTCTCCCCATTTGCTACAACTGTAACTACCTAACTAAAACAGTAAACTATGACTCACATCCTTTTTCCTTTCAGTCCTGACTCTAACCTCCCCTTACTCCTATCCCCTGCCAACTTAAACCTCCCAGACACTGCCAACCTAGTTTAAATTTTCTAGAAAATTATTATTCTGTGTGCTGTAGCTATCTATTAATAAGTATTTTTTCACATTTGTTAGAAACATGAGTAACATAATCACTATAAGAAGTTCAGATCACTGAATTAATGAAGAATTACATAAAAATTAAGCCACTGATTTTAAAGTAATCCTCCAAAAGAAGACTGTGAAGGCATGTAAAATAACTTTTGGAAGAAGTATACAGATTTGCTCTTTTTTCCTCAGTGTGGAAGCCTGAGGTTTAAGAACAAAGACACTAACAGAAAACATATGGAACAGATCAGTAACAAGATGGAATCTTGGCTCAAATGTGGTCTGCCACATTCTACATACCAATGTCTCAAATAATAGACTAGACTTTTACAATACTGCCAGAGCATCACTTGAAACATTGTATACTTTTCTTGAATGTGAAATATAACAAAATAAATCCTGTGAGTTCTTTGTAAAAACTTAATGAAAAACACTACTTTGAGGAAACAAAAACGAACTCCAGGATTCACTTTACCATATTAGTTTATAAAAGCTTAAAAGAATCCCCCTGTCCCTGCAAATGAACTCAAAGTCCACTGCCAAAAGACACAAGTCAACTCTGTTTAAAATATGAAAATATTAGCATAAAATTTCACATTTAAAGCAGTTAGCTGTTACTCTTTAAAAGAGATAGCTCAGTGAAATGAGGAAATTTTCTAAATCTACAAAATAAAGGCAATAGTTATTAGGCAACAGAAGCTTTTCATTCTGTTTTATTCACTACTACACAATTATTTTTGTGTAATACTAAAAACAGGCAAAACAGAGATATACGAGTGCAAGGTATTGACATCCAAGCCAAGAGATTAGTTTTTATTTCAAAGGATATTAGAAGGCATTCTAGCAGGTATATTTGGTAGCAAGGTGAAAAAGAAAATAGCTGATAGAAAAGAAGGGGTCTTTGTTCAGAAAGACATGTATTTAATCTGTGTAACCAATAATAATCTACTGCACATTTTAAGAATAAACTAAATGTGAAATGCTATATTTCTAACCCTGATTCCTTGTTTTAATGAAGGGAAGCTTTGATGTGAACATAGGTGTCGTGCAACCAAGGGACTCAAGAAATCTTGAGTTCCACCTTAAACTGCTGAGACATTGGGTTCCCTGTGGACCTTAATTTGAAGAATTCTTTGGCATGAAAATGAAAATAAAAACAGTAATCAGTACATGCTGTTTCATTTAGTTCTGTTTGCCTTTCACATTAGAGGAAATTCTTGCCACACCTCAAACCAAAATTAAGGGGGAAAGAAAAGAGTAAGCCACATAAATCTGACCAAAAACACAAGCATCTTTATTTGAATCCACAAGGTTTTATATAATGAAAAGAAATACATAATTTTAATTCAACCCAAGTGTTTTCCAAGCAGATTGTATTTGCTTAAATTGCTACAGTAATTCAAGAGACAGCCCTGTCTGGACACAGAGTTACTGTGGATTTTTAAGAGACTCAGTTAAAGAATTTAGGAATTTCTGATTCATTAGAAGGATTTGCAAAATCATCAACCCCTGAAAACTAAAGCAAATTCAACAGGTATGATGATAAAATAATTTTCAATGTTTTTAAAGAATGTATTCCTACTGTTTAAGTAAAAAGAGTATACTGGATTTGTTTAATATAAAAATAGATTGCATGTTTCATAAAAGCACAATTTTTGGAAGCAAAATCTGGTGAAAAGTTACATTAAAATTGATTAGGCAAAGTGTTCAGGAAAAGAAAGTAGTAAAGTAAGTTTACTTTTCTTAAGATTTCTAAACAAAGATTTAGTTTTGTTCAGATTTTTTTTACTTTGAAAGGAAAGGTTCTCAGGTTAAAGAAATCAATGTATTTCTTGGCTTTCTTTTTCTTCTCAATTTTAAATGACAAAGAACCAAGTAATGCCTTTAAGCTATACATCTGAGTGGTGCTAGTGATTCTGGTTGTATGGAAGATGAGCATTTGTACCAATTTCACTCAAGATTTTCTCAAAATGTCTCTATTGATCAAACCCTGATACAGAATGTTTTTGTTTTCATTTACCTCTTTCTCAAAAGGAATACAATATGAGTGTTCTATCTAGTCTATTGAAGGATCTAGTTACTTGGGTTTCAGTTCATTGATTTAATTGTAATATAGCTAAAAATGATTGAGACAGTCATATTTTTTATAACAAAAGAATTTTACAAAGTTAAGTTTAAAGCTGTTTTATAAAAAACATGAATTACATACTAATACTTAGTTTCTTACATGCTAGGTACTATGGCATACCAATAAATAATGTCTTTAAAATAATAAAATATTATGAGGATTTTACTTTAAAATTTCCAGAATGAAGTAAAGTATGCATCATTTTTATTAACAATTTCAATTAGACTTTGTCTTGATGAAAATATGGGTGCTTTTCTCTAAGTAAGAGAAATGTTACCATATAGGTGCCATTACTGCTATAATATGAAAAATTCACATTAATGGATACTTTCTAAACTGGTAATATATATTTTACTTTGCTTCCAACTTTCTTTTTCACATGTTACTTTTCTACTAGACCTGCACTAGGAAAGTGAGGAATACAGTATATTGTGATAGAAAAATACTCAGTAGAGAAAAGAAGTCAAGCTTTCACTATCTTCATTTGAAGAAATCACAATGGTGAAATAAATGTCTAGAAATAATCAACATTCATAGAGATAAGCACTGCTAACAAGGTGTAATTTATAACTTACTAATTCAATAATTCATCCAACAAATCTTTGAGAACTTATAACAATGCATTGTACTTGATTCTATTAAATATTAGGTCAATAATCGAGATGATTTGACAATGAATTATTCTCTATTGCTGTGAGTTATCCTATAGGAAACAAAGCATAGAATGTAGAATATGAAAAGCAGAAGTAACAAAAACCAGCTTAGCAAATAGTCGAGAAGAGACTAGTTGGAATAAAACGTGTTTAAAACGAAATAAGAGATCATTGTAACATGGAAAATTATCATGGGAAAAGAGCAAGAGAGATTAGAAAATAATGGGGCTACAGATGGAAAGAGGATGGATTTCGGACCAGAAAACTGCAAGTATTCAAAAGTAAGTGGGACCAGATTGCACTACAGGGTTAGGAATGTGGAGAAAGTAGGCAAGAATGTTTAAAATAAGTTCAGGTCTAGAAACAAAATTGCTCTTTAAGGAAAGACTGTCTTCTTAGGTGCCCACAAAGACCAAAAACAAACAACAGAAAGAATCCCTTTATTTTCAGAGAGGCCCCAAACATGATGTCTCGATTCCAGGCCTCCTCTTTTCCCAACTATTTTCTCATACTTGTTGAACAATAGCCTCTGATTCTCAAATGTAAGGTTGCTAACTGATGATTGCAAATGTTTTTAACACAAGGCTAAGATTCAAGTAGAGTTTTCATGCACAATGCTCTTTTCAAAGTTCAGCTGTGCAACAGCCAGCGTCAGAATTGTGTGGGTTGGCCCAGCGCGACTGCATGTCCCTCTTCCTCCACTTGTGTATTTTGGGAACACAGCAACCTTACAGAACCCAACTCCGATGGCTGTAGTGAGACTGAAATGAAGGATAGCAAGCTTTAAAAAGTTAGAATGGGGCAACCCCCTCGGGTCCCCTACCACTGTGGGAACTTTTCTGTCCTCTCAATAAATCCTGCTTTAAAAAAAAAAAGTTAATATGCAAGAGGAAAAAAACAAGAAAAGTGCTGCACACAGTGGCTTACACCTGTAATCCCAGCACTTGGGAGGCAGAGGTGATGCCTGAGCCCAGGGGCTCAAGACCAGCCTGGGTAACTTAGCAAGACCTTGTCTCTACAATAAATCAAAAATTAGCCAGGTGCGGTAGCACACTCCTGCAGTTCTGGCTACTTGGAAGGCTAAGGTAGAAGGAGCACCTGAGCCCAGCAGGCTGAGGCTACAGTGACTGTGAGCCTGCCATTGCACTCCAGACTGGGTGACAGAGTGAGACTCTGACTCAAAAAAAAAAAAAGTTAATATGCTATGCTATACTGAGTACAATATTAGAAAATTATACATAAAATATCATCAATGAGTATAAAATGTATAGGATGTTCTACATCCATTTCTGTTACTCTCCCAAAGTTTGGATCAAATGATGTCTATAAAAGACTTCCCTGTCTCCCAAGCAGGGTTAAGCCACTGGGCCCACAGCATTGCCTGTCTCTACTACAAACCATGCTACCCTTGGCCTTAGGTTAGGGTTTGCTTTGTTGTGTCCCTCTCCTCCACTCAACAGTTTACTCTTCAGAGAGACCATGACTTCGTGTTCTCTATCAACTTAGTACAACGACTCACCCCTATAAATAATTTAAGACAACTGCAAACTTAAGTAACCCAACCAAACTACAATCTTTGTAAAACCTCTACTAAGTACATTCACATAGAGTAGAGTATAGCAGGTAAATGAACATCCCAAGCAGACCCTTTGGAAACTTCTAGCCCATAACTCCTGTCTATCTCGTCCCCAAGATTCTCCTACTTCACCCATGAACACTGCAGTGTGACAATCACAGCTCAAATATGCAAATTCATTAAATGAGGCATTCATATCCAGACTGCAAATTCCTGAGGTCAGAATTTAGGCCCTCCAGCCCCTGGATTTATAACAGCAGTCCAATTTTGCACCTTTAACAGTTAACCACTATGTCCTAAACACTTCAATCTCTGTTGCTTCTGTGTTTTTACTCATCTCCTCTGTCTGAAAAACTTCTTCCCCACCTCCAAAAGAACCCTAACATTCCTTCAAAGACTAAATCAAATGCCATGTCCTCCATGAATCTCATGGAAAAGAAAAATGAATGTAATATATTTAGACTTTCAAAAAGAAACATCATGCGTTTCAAAATCACATATTGTTCAAAAAATTGCTATTTTGGCATTTCCCTGTATGTAGGGATAAATATCAGGAAATATATTGGAATAAATGATCATTTGATCTAAAAAAAGGAAGCAAAGTCATTACACAAAAGCAGTAACAGGGAATTAAGTTTTAGAGGCTTGAGAGAGGAAAGGTACGAAAGAGGACAGAGGGAATGAGAAGGGTCTAAGAAAACGTGGCCGCGCAGCACTTGGAGTCAGTGGCCATGAATTGAGAGAGACCAGTCAGCATGAGGCTGTTTGTCACTCGCCACATTCAGCTGCGTGAGTCAGGGTGCGACTAGGTGAAGGAGTTCAGTAACTAGGGTTGGTGCTTTCCAGATACCAGGACCCGGAAAATGAAGGGTGTGTGCAAAGGAGTCAGGATAGTGACGAACTATGAGGTCCAAGGTGGTAAGAATGAATGAGGTCGAAGTTGGGAGGTATGGATAGGGGTCAGCAAAAAAAAAGAGGATCAATACGTTTTAGATTCCATTGAAACTGAAGAATTATCACAGAGTTAATACACAGAAATAATGGTCAGAATGGGAGATTCTCCTACAATGAAGAATATGAGGGGTTGCAGTAATAGAAATGACAAGGTCCAGGTTGTAGGTACCTGGGAACAAATGGTGAGGAAGAATGTCACTGGAGAAAAAGAGATCAAGGGTCTCTAACTCTGCTTGAATAACTACTTCAAATCCCAAAAAACTCACGTTTATTTACATCCTATGTATCCTTAGTTTCTGACAAGAAAAGAAACAAGAAACTGAGATGTTTCTCAATCTTTCTCAAATGGGGTACTGTCAGAAAAAATTATTTAAGTATTTTCTCAAGTTTACCAGTGACAAAAAATAGCTAGTACCATCCTAGAAGAATAGGCGATAATAAGTCTTCATTATATACAATGATCGGCCATTCATTCTCTCATGAAACCCTAGATGAGAAAGGTAGAGAGAAAGTTTTTATAAATAAAAGAGGTATTTTTAAAAACCTTTTTCCTGTTAATATACTCATCCCATCTGGATAGCAGTTTTCAATTTGCAAAGTACTTTAACATACATATCTCATATGATCTTAACAATTACCAGGTGAGCTAAGCAGGCAAAATACAAGATAAAGCAGATGAGATAAGCAGCCAAGCTATGATTCAGTTACTATCGCAATTCTTGTTTTATTGATGAGGCAAGAAGCAGGTAAGGTAAGTGACAGGACTGAAATGCAGGCTTTATGAAGGCTCCTTATCCAGGACATAACCTACCCTTTGCTACAACTTCAAGTTTCAACACAGAAAGGTGTGAATTGTCTGTGACGCCTTCCCCCTACAATCCCACTCCACACAATATCCTCCTGCTGCACTGCACTGCATGTCTCTCTGACTCTGCAGTAGATGTTAAACTCCTCGGAACAGTTTCCAGAATCCAATTATTTTGTCCCCAACTCTGCTTGAATAACTACCTCAAATCCAAAATACATAATGATACCCGCATTCTACAAAGTTTAAGTACTTTGTATACTAACACAAATATTAATATCTGTATATCTAGAACTTAAATATATTAGTGCAAAAGGGAAGCCAAGAAGAAAATGTAAAGATCAATCTATTAGAAACTTAAACTTTGCAGAACATAAATCTTGCATGTATTTTGGACTTCAAGCAGTTATTCAAGCAGAGACAGAGACAAAAGAAATGGATTCTGGAAACTGTTTCATGAGGAAAATATGATGGTGCAGTTAAGGCTTGGACAGAAAACACTAAGAGTAAACATACAAATACCTCTCAAGTTATTACATAAAAGGGAGTATTCTCCACGTTCTTCTGAAGGACAGAAAAGGGTATCAGCAAATAGAGGTTGTAGAATCTTAGGCTGGGAGTGGTGGCTCACACCTATAATCCTGGCACTTTGGTGGCCGAAGCAGGAGGACCCAGGAGTTTGAGATCAGCCTAGGCAACATAGTGAGACCTGTCTCTACAAAATATCAAAAAAATATGGTGGTGCATGCCTGTAGTCCCAGAAGCCCAGCTAATTGGGAAGCTGAGGCAGAAGCACCGCCTGAGCCCAGGAAGTCGAGACTGAGGTGAGCTATGATTGTGCCATGGCACTCCATCCTGGGTAACAGAGTAAGACTCTGACTGCAAACAAAACAAAAAAGAAAGAAAAAAGTTGTAGAATATCCTAGGCAAAAGCACTCTAACTGAAATATAGGACTCTGTCTCTCACAGGTAGCAAAAATCATTAAAGGACGGAGTAAGTTATAAGAACATCTAGCATTTATAGTGGTGGAAGCATTCGATTCTAGTTGAGTGATGTTATGCTATCACTGTAGATCTACACTCAAGAATGCAATATAAACGGAGAGTCTCTTAAAAGATGGTTACTTAGTAGAAAAATCTAAAACATCAGACTTTTGACTCTGGTTCGATGCAATGTGACTTTTTAAAGAAAATTCCATCTCACTGGTACTTAAGCATGAATTTTGGTTTGAGCATCACCCATTCTTTCTGGACATTCTTTTATATAGACATAGGTTAATACATTATGTATACTGTAAATTTATATAAGAATTATTCTGAGTTTACTCACTTTTTCCAAAATGTTTCCTTTTCCCCTTGCAATAGGGAAAAAGAGAGAGAGAGAGAGAGAGAGAGAGAGAGAGAGAACATGGGTTTTTCAAGCCCAGTATGTGTCCTTTTCTTCTTTTTTGGAATCAAAGTATATTGCCAATATGAAACGTACCAATGGGATGAAGACAACTATGACCAAGAGCCCGATGATGATTACCAAACAGAATTGCAATTTCGTCAAAATATAGAATATGGAGTTCCTTTTCATCAGTATACTTTAGGCTGTGCCAGAGAATGCTTCTGTCCAACTAACTTTCCATCATCAATGTACTGTGATAATCGCAAACTCAAGACTATCCCAAATATTCCAATGCACATTCAGCAACTCTACCTTCAGTTCAATGAAATTGAGGCTATAACTGCAAATTCATTCATCAACGCAACTCATCTTAAGGAAATTAACCTCAGCCACAACAAAATTAAATCTCCAAAGATTGATTATGGAGTGTTTGCTAAGTTTTCAAATCTACTACAACTTCATCTAGAACATAACAATTTAGAAGAATTTCCATTTCCTCTTCCTAAATCTCTGGAAAGACTCCATCTTGGTTACAATGAAATCTCCAGACTGCACACAAATGCCATAGATGGGCTAGTAAACTTGACCATGCTTGATCTCTGTTATAATCATCTTCAAGATTCTATGTTAAAAGGCGAAATCCTTGCCAAAATGGAAAAACTGATGCAGCTCAACCTGTGTAATAACAGATTAGAATCAATGCCTCCTGGTTTGCCTTCTTCACTGATGTATCTATCTTTAGAAAATAATTCAATTTCTTCTATACCAGAAAAATACTTTGAAAAACTTCCAAAACTTCATGCTCTAAGAATGTCACACAACAAACTGCAAGACATCCCATATAATATTTTTAATCTTTCCAACCTTATAGAACTCAACGTTGGACACAACAAACTGAAGCAAGCATTCTATATTCCAAGAAATCTGGAACACTTATACCTAGAAAACAATGAAATAGAAAGTATGTAAAATTTTTAATGTTTTTTAAAGAGAAAAAGAATGATATTCTGACCCAGTAAAGAAAAAAAAAATTAACGATCTATGCTTTAGACATGACTGGAAATGTTTGTCTTGAAGCTAGCAGGTAATGGCCCCAGAGAAATATAAGCTATTTGGCTTACAGTCTTTTCTATTAAATCTTATCACTGTAAATATTGAGAAATAACACTGTAGGTATATAAAAAATTATGAGTATCCTGAGTAGTGGGACCGTAGATGATTTTTACTTTTGAAATTGTTCTACTAAGAATCTACTACTTAAATACTCAGAAAAAAACCAATGAAGTCATATTTATTTCAGTAATATAGAACTCATTTATTTCATTTTATTATTTTATAAATGTAAAAAGTTAAACCTGATTCTACTTATAAGAATTTTAATTAATAAAATCACATCTCATATAAGATGAAACCCACATAGAATCATGGATATAATTATGAACATGATACAGGATTAATGTTTAACTTGTATTTTTCAGAGATGAATGTTACAGTGATGTGTCCTTCTATTGAACTGCTACATCACCACCATTTAACATACCTCCGTGTGGACCAAAATAAGTTAAAAGAACCAATAAGCTCATATATCTTCTTCTGCTTCCCTCATATACATACTATTTACTATGGTGAACAAAGAAGCCTGAATGGTCAAATGATACAACTGAAGACACAGGTTTACAGGCGATTCCAAGATGATGATGACGATGACAGTGATGAGCACAGTGAGCCTGAGGGCGCTCACGAAGACCACGAGCAAGGAGGAGAAGGGCAGTTTGACCCTTATTACGACGAAGTTCAAGAATGGCGATAGGCTGTAGGGGTGCACACTGATGACTTTACAAAACCTTATTACTCAATATAGTAAATCTAACTGAACATGCATTGCTCAAAGTAATATATTTAGAATTATGTATTATTATAAGAGCAGAATTGAAGTTGTTGATAACATGTGCCTCACTACACAGGAACAGAATTTACTCAAAATAATAAAATCTTTAGAAATATTAATGAGAATGACAAGTAGAAGTCATAAAATAAACTTTAATGGTGTCTTATACTCTTTTTTTTTTTTTTTTGAGTTGGAGTCTTACTCTGTTGCCCAGACTGGAGTGCAGTGGTCTCTCCCGGCCACTGCAGCCTCGACCTGCTGGGCTCTGGCGATCCTTCCGCCTCAGTCTTCCGAGTAGCCGAAATTACAGGACTGCGCTACCACGCCTGGCTGATTTTTTTATTTATTGTAGAGATGAGGTCTTGCTGCCCAGGCGGGTCTCGAACCCGCGGGCTCAGGCAATCCACTCACCTCAGCCTCCCAAAGGCACGGGATTACAGGCTGAGCCACCAAGCCTGGCTCTTATTCTCTTTTTAAACATTGAAATATCATCATGTTGGGGAAAAAAAGCAAGTATGCCATTTCCATAAACAGCAATTTTTCTAAAAATAATGAAGGAAGTAACATTCATGTGAAGACCCAGAAGCCATGACTTTTTGATCACTATAAGGACAATATGGGGATAAAATGCCTCCCTCCCGCTTCTACCCTCCCCCCATTTGAATGACAGGAAGGCACATTAATACAACAAGTATTTGGCCAAGCTTTGTGGTTTACACCTGTAATCCCAGCACTTTGGGAGGCAGAAAGGAGAGGAATGCCTGAACCCAGGAATTCGAGACCAGCCTGGGCAACGTGGTGAGACCTCATCTCTACAATATATCAAAAAATTAGCTGGGTGTAGTGGCGCATGCATGTGGTTCCATCTACTTGAAAAGCTGAGGCAGAAGGATTGCCTGAGTCCAGCAGGTTGAGGCTGCAGTAGCCATGATCATGCTATTGCACTCCAGCCTGGGCCACAGATTGAGACTCCGATTAAAAATACCTATATGTATTTGCTTAAGGAATAAATTAGTGTCTTTGAACTCATCTCCAGAAAAGCTTTCACACTTTTATTCATGACCACATCACTATAACATCCATCCCCCCGGCTCACCACTTACAGCACAGGATGATAATTTTCATTTTCAAGAGGCCACCCTACTAAGAATCTCAGGCATACAGATTCATGACATCAACTAATCTTGTTTTTTTCTCAGAGCACAAAAGGAAGAAAATTATAAGGCCCGTATTTAGAAAACTAAGAAAACATCACATTATTTCACAGTAATCTGTATTTTAGCAAATCTTAGCAACTGTCTAAAACAACCTTTATTGTGTTCCATTTTAAGTGGGATAAATGATTTTAGAGTGAATTCAACCAGAGAAAGATCTCATTGTTTTAGTTACATAAAATTTATGTGTTTTAATAAATAACTGCTTTGTTCACAAAGTTAGTGTTGGCAAAATAAAGTTCTACCAATATTATTTAAACACTTGGTTTTTGAGAATAATACATTAGAAACATATATGCTTTTCAGCCAATGTTTATTAATATAATGCTAAAGTTGAACATAGTTCCTTTAAAATTTGAATGACAGATTTTAACATATTTAAAATCTTTTAAAAATCACTTTTTCTTTAATCTATCGTTTTGAAGTATTTTAAGTATGCCTTACAATGAAGATTATCTAACTGCTGTGATGAACTCTCTTGAATTTCTCAAATAAGGGATAAATACAAATCTGGAGCTGCCTATACAAGGAACACAAAAATAAATGATAACAAATTCAGACAATATGCAACAGACAGACAAGTAAAACTATGCTTTGGAAGTAATTTTCAAGCTTGTAAGTTGTTTTTTGTTTTTTGTTTTTGAGTCGGAGTCTCACTCTGTGGCCCAGACTAGAGTGCAGTGGCCACTCCAGGCCACCGCAGCCTTGACCTGCTGGGCTCCGGTGATCCTTCCGCCTCAGCCTTCCAAGTAGCCAGAACTACAGGCGCGCGCTACCACGCCCAGCTAATTTTTGATTTATTGTAGAGATGAGGTATCGCCAAGTTGCCTGGGCAGGTCTCAAACCCACCGGCTCAGGCAATCCACACACCTGGCCCTCCAAAGTGCTGGGATTACAGGCCACTAATGTTCTTTTTAATCTTTGAGTAGGTTATAGGATTATCAGAACCAGAACACTCACCTGTTCTGAGACAATCTCAACAATCCAGAATAACTATGAATAAAACTCCACTTAATTCATTTAATTAACTTCATCCAGTCGTTTGGTATACAGGGCTTAGCAATGAAGGATCAAGAAACAATGTACAATGTGCAACTCTGCCACCATAAGAACAGTGTGAGAGGTAAAGGTAAGGGTAAAATGCTAGTGATATGAGCAAAGCCCACTTCTAACAGAGGTTAAAAAAAAAATCTTAAGGACCACTTCTCCTTTTCTTGCAATTTTGAAAAACAGGGTTATAAACCCAAACATTTTTATGAACTAATATGTGGAAAATACCTTTAGTGTTTTAGGAGATAAGAAAGATAAGACTATTTCTAATCTAGAGCAATTAAAAATTTAATGAGGGGCCCAGGTGTGTAAAACTTTTAGTTCTGGAGTTCAAGACCAGATCAAGCAACATAATAAGAACCTCATTTAAAAAAAAAAACAGTAAAATTTAATGAGGCATCATCAGGAAAATGTAAATCAAAACCACAACGAGATACCACTTCATACTCTCGCTAGGCTTGCTAAAATCAAAAGACAGACAAGTGTTGGAAGTGGAGAAATTGGAGCCCTCATACCCTGTATTGCAAGGAGTGTAAAATGGTACAGGTGCTTTGGAGAGCAGTCTGGTGGTTCTTTAAAAAGGCAGAGTTACACATAACCCAGTGATTCCACTCCATGGTATATACCCAAGAGAAATAAACACAGAACACATGTTCTCACAAAAATTTGTATACAAATGCCCACAGCAGCATTATCCATAGAGCTAAAAAGTGGAAAGCACCCAAATGTCCATTAATGAATAAACATAGTATATAAAAAGTAATGAAGTATTGACACATGCTACAATATGGATGAATATTAAAAACATGCTCAGTGAAAGAAATCAACCAGAGAAAGATCACATACTGTTGACTGCACTTATATGAAATGTCCAGAACAGGGAAACCTATGGAGAATAAAAAGACGAGTGGCTCCCTAGAGCTGGGGGCATGGGATGGAAGAAAGTGGAGAGTAACTACTAATGGGTAAAAGATTTATTTTGGAGGATGACAAAAATGTTCCAAAATTAATTGTGGTGATAGTGTACAAGCCCCAAAATAGGAACTCCTACTGAATTGTGTACTGTAAAAGGATAAATTGTATTGGATGTGAATTATCTCAAAAAAGCAGTTATTCTAAAAATTTAATAAAGAAAAGATCAAATAACTCATTCTAACACGAGGAAGAAAGAAATAAACTGCTAAAGTAGCAGTGACTACAAAAAACCGTGTGAGCCCAGATGCCATAATTTTCACATCTGGCAAAAACCTAGTGAAGTAGTTGAAGGTTCCCAGGAAAAAGAGTTTGACATGTGTGATTGGAACTGACTGGCAGAAATGAAGAGAACAAGCTCCCAACTGTGATTAATACATAGATGCGGAAGGAAAAAACCCAAGATGTGGTAATTACTTGTTTCACCTCTTACACAGTTTAAAAAATTAAAAACCCTCCAATTTTCAAAATTCTGGAGCTTTCTTATTTCCTCCTAAATGAATAAAAGAAAATACATTTTAATCCTCAAAGAACAGCCTCAGTGAAGAATAAAATTACAATTCAAATTTAGCAATTCAAAACAAGGAAATTCACCTGTAATCCCAGCACTATGGGGGGCGGAGGAGAGAGGACTGCCCCAGTCCAGGGCTGCGAGACCAGCCTGGGCAACTTGGCAAGACCTCGTCTCTACAATAAATTAAAAAAAAAAAATTAGCCAGGTGTGGTAGTACAGGCCTGTGGTTCCAGCTACTTGGACGGCTGAGGCGGAAGGATTGCCTGAGCCCAGTGAGCAGAGGCTGTGGTGGCCATGAACGTGTCACTGCGCTTCAGTCTGGGAGACAGTGAGATTACTATTTTTTTTTTTAAAAAAAGCATTTGACATCAAATATATGTGGGTATGAAGTCTGGCTTTATACTTCTAAGCTAGGTGATTTTGAGTAAATGATTTGGCTTTTCTCTTTCTTCATGATTGAAGGAAGGTGGCTCTCATAGGGTTGCCATAAGGATATAGAGAAACAAAGGGGATTAAAGTACTTAAAGTGCACACCAGTTATCAAGTAACTAGTAACCCTTGCTCCAGCATGTGAGCACAGCACCCCACAGATCTGGGTGCTGCACACTCCTGGATGCGCAAACGGGCTTTCCGAGCACACAGAAGGTTAGTGGACAAGAGAGTTTTTACTGAGGCTTTCATTAGGGTGCTTAAATCATATATACCACGACAAATTCAAAGTCACTGTTGGATAGTTCAGTTTTCCAAAGCACTCTTGGATGGCTTACCAGGACAAGGACAGCAGGGTCCCCTCCTTGCCACTCACAAAACACTGGGCTGCTGCCTCCTCTGCCCTAGAGTATGGTCAAACTCCTCTTGTCTATTAGGAAGCACAGTTCAGCTCTGCTCTGGCTCCTCCCTCCAAAGATGTGTAGAAGTAAATGTATCCCAAATGTCTTCAGCTGAGGGCCCAATGAGGCAGGTACATTAACAACCATTTCTTGTTACTTAAAAATGCCCTGACTAACTGAAATCCACCCAAGTAGTTCTCATTAAAAACAAAACAAATAGTCGGGCTTGGTGGCTCAGCCTGTCATCCCAGCACTTTGGGAGGCCTAGGCGAGTGGCATGCCTGAGCCCACGAGTTCGAGACCAGTCAGGGCAACTTGGCGAGACCTTGTCTCTACAATAAA